CCTATCACGGACCGTCGGGGCAAGTGCTGTGAGCGAGGAGCACCGATTGGAAGGCTGGAACGGCACACGAGGGGGTGAATGACCAGAACCACGCCCGACCGCCTTTGTCTCCCCAGCGGCGATGTTTTACACACTGCACCAGGTACTCATTTGAAGCTGAGTCGACCTAGGGGAGGCCCAGGACCGGGTTTAAATAATGCTCACCGTGAGCGGGAATCGATTTCGGATCGCCGGGTTCGTAGCGCCCTCACGCACACGTGGAGAAAGCGAGGAACAAAACAAAAAAAGTTTTAAACGATTGATTTTATCGTACCATTTTTATTTATTTTATTATGGTGTTTATTTTTCTTCAGAATTGACCTAGCCACACATTTATTAGTTCAACCAAGTGGCTTATCATCGCGTGGACACTTATAGCAACCAAATACTCTTAAACGCGTGACGTTGATTCTAACTGTGGAGGGTGAAAAAGTAGAGGGCTCTGAGAAAATGCCACGCGACCACGTCTCGAGAGACACCGCAAACTCCAAATATACAGCAGCAGCAGCAGCAGGCGTCAGGGTCGAGATCGAACACACGACCTCCTGTATACCCGGCGAGGTAGTTAACATCTCATAGCCACCGTGATGATGATCATGATGAGAGAGACACCGCAAACTCCAAATATACAGCAGCAGCAGCAGGCGTCAGGGTCGAGATCGAACACACGACCTCCTTTATACCCGGCGAGGTAGTTAACATCTCCTAGCCACCGTGATGATGATCATGATGAGAGAGACACCGCAAACTCCAAATATACAGCAGCAGCAGCAGGCGTCAGGGTCGAGATCGAACACACGAGCTCCTTTATACCCGGCGAGGTAGTTAACATCTCATAGCCACCGTGATGATGATCATGATGAGAGAGACACCGCAAACTCCAAATATACAGCAGCAGCAGCAGGCGTCAGGGTCGAGATCGAACACACGAGCTCCTTTATACCCGGCGAGGTAGTTAACATCTCCTAGCAACTGTGGCGCCCAAGGTGGAGAGAAGGAAGGGGGATCGGGATGGGATTGTTTTGGATGATGAGGGAGGGATGGAGGGATGGATGGAGGGGTTTGTAAAAGCAAGGGCAGGAGGGAACACGTGGGGAATCGGAGTAGGAGGAGGTGATACAAAAGAGAGGCGCGGGGAAAGAGGGAAGGAGGTGGGGGAGAGAGGGAAGGGGAGGGAGGAAGGAGGGGAGGGAGGAGGGGAGTTGGACAAGCAAGAGCATGGACAAACACGTGGAGGAGAATGGGAGGGGGGAGAAATATGATGAGGTGATACAAAAGAGAGACGCAGGGAAGGAGGCGGGAGGGAGATGGGGGGAGCTGCGATACTTGATCTCATCTGACAGCAGCGAGCATCGTCTCCCCCACCCCGCCCATCAGCCCCGCCCCTCACCACACCCGCTTCCCACGGCGCTGGCGACTGTGGTGATGTTGGAAGTTGTGATGTCTTGGCACGCGTGTTCACTCACCAGCCGCGCTCTCAGGTGGAGCAACAACAACAACGTGAACAACATCGAGAACAACATCAACGACAAAAAAAAAATGTCTATATAGCTCAGTGGGTCTTACCTGGTTAAAATAAAAAAAAATAGTGTTTAATAGTTTTATTGTCAGAGCCGCCACTCTCGTGGCCGAGTTCGTGTCAGAGACACTCAGCCCGCACCGCTGAGGACCTGGGTTCAAGTCCTGGGTCAGGGTGTGTATATCTATCTCTGTAAGTATGGTTCATAATGGCCATGTCAGAGACACCGAGCCGGCACCGCTGAGAAGTTGGGCTCGCCGCATAGCACCAGACCTCGGAAGATAAGCAGCGTTAGGACCCGGTCCGTGCTTGGGATAGGAGACTGCATGGGTAAACCAGGCGTGGGAAGCAATGATATGGCAGCACTGCCTCTCCGAGTCTCATGAACGCGCTTTCTCAGGAGGGCCCTGCTACGTCGGGGTGCTTGTTCCATGGTTGGTGATTTTGGCTCGGTGTGGTCGACGGGAGAAAACCCCACCGGGCACACACCCGCACAGATGGATTTAAGAATCCACTTGCGTCTACCTGCTGCCGCATTCCACCTGGATGTCTCCCCCCCCCCCCCCACCAATCCGAACCCCGCCCAGAGGAGTCACTGTAGCGCGGGTCACAGTGACCCGCATTGTCACGGCGAAATGTTCATATCTCTTAAGTCTGTTCGAGTACATATATTTATTCTCATTTCAGAAGATTACCTTTCTCGGTACAACGAGTTCCTGATGGTTCTTTTTTATATTATTAATTCTATTCGGCAGTGGTCTGATTTAAGGAGAGCGATGTCTTGCTGCACGACACGACAGGAGATTGCGAGCGAGAGAGGTTCGCGGTTGGAAACCTGAGGGCCGCCCTGATTAATACTCACGATTGGGGAAGCTGCTGCTGCTACTGCTGCGTTGGCAGGGGTGCCCAAGCACAGCCAACAACAACAACAAGAGGCTCAACACACTCGTCAACAACACTGTGGCCTTAAAATCTAAAAAAAGATCAAATAAAATCGACGAATATATATGCTATGATGAATGGCCTTTGCCCGAAACGTCGCCGATTATAATTTTATTGAGGCCAGTGTTGTTGACAGTGTGTTCAGTTTATTTTATTGAACTCATACTGCGGTATTAAGCTTAAATAAATAAGTAAACGCACGCGACCGGTTATGTTTAACTCGTATTGGACGTTACAGATCCCGTGACCGTTATGCGCACCATTTGACAGTTGTGTGCCGGCCGGCCACGTGGTCCAAATTTGGCAAATTTGCAAACAACAATTACACCGCAAATAATGACTCCCGTTGGGATTTATACGCAGCAGCAGCAACAACAACAATCGTCGCCACCCCTACTCGGAAAACCCGACAGGATCCTCCTGAAAATGAGTCCCACGACCCAGTGTTGATTCTCCGGGATAAATGAACAAGAAGAGGCGGAGTTTTGTTTTTCTTCCGAATTTCGACAAGAAGCTCAATATTTCAAGAGCCGCGATGCACTGCATGGTGAATACGAGGACGGGTAGTTGTGGTCACGAAGCACAGTCCTTGAAGAGGCGGCACGCGGCTCTGGAGCCGCAGGCCGCCCACCCCAGATCTATACAGAGACAAAGGTCCCCCTACGGCGTAAGGTCACACAAACTTTTGGGGGAAGAGGGGGGGGGCGAGTGCTGTTACGCCATTTGCGAGCAGCAGCAGCAGCACCAATGAAGGCCGTCACGGCACGTGCCGGTGGTGGGTGGCCAACACCACGCCCGGCCGCCTTTGTCTCTCCAGCGGCGACGTTTCCCAGCACAATTAAAATTCACGCCGCAGACGACAAAGCTCCCCCCCCCACCCGTGTTTCCACTGGTGCTTGTGGATATATCCCCACGCCCCCCCCCCTCTCGCTCTCCACCGCCTGTTACCTCCGCCGCCCCCCCCCCCCCCCCCCCCCATTGAGTCGGTCAACACGCGCGACCTTTAAACCGCCGCCAATTATGCAGCGGCGAGGCGCGGCGCTGCCCTTTGGCGGCTGAAGCTTCGGGAAGAATCGGCGCCGTGGCGGAGGGCGGTGTCCCCGCGCCGCCTAAGTGGGCCCACTTTGTCGCGACGGGGCAGGAACGGTTCGGTGCAGGGAGGGACGAGAGGATGCCAGTACTCCCGCTACTGCTGCCGACGGTGATGAAGATGATGATGAGAACCAGGCAGCCGAGGGAGGGGGGCAGAGATAACGCATTTATTCGTTCACTCACCCCGTGTCCATCGAAACCAATTTGGGCAGATGAGTGGCCACCATTTGTAAGGTGGGCGGGGGGTGGAGGCTCAGTGGAGGCTCAGCCCCCAGCCCGCTCGGTCATGACCACGGTGTTTAAATCATCATCATCATCGCTATCAGCTGTGCTGTGGTTGTTTTTGTACAGATTTCTATTGGTTTGGTGACCCCGGTCACTCTTGCAAACGAGACTCTATCCTGGTGTCTTGAGCTCTCTCACAGCTGGGTTAAACAAAATAAAACTTTTAACATTGAACTTGGTGGCTGGTGGTGGTGGTGGTGCGGGGGTGGCGTGAGTCGCCACTGCAACAGCGCCCCCTAGAGCGTAGCGTGCGCTATGGGAACGCTCAACTAGTGGGATTTACGCGTGCTGTAGCAGGGAGATAGTACGTAGGGGTGTTGCAAATGAATGGGGAAACATCACTGGAGATCCATTGCAATCTGGAGGAATCCTTCCATCTACCACCACAAAAGAACAAAGACTCCCCCCCCCCCGTATAGCCTTGACTGTTGGGGGCAAGTGATATAAGAATTGGTTTTACCCTTTCTGGCAATAAAATAGGTGTAAAGATGTTAAAACAAAAACAAAAAAACCTTTTGCAAGGAACCATGTCTGCATTAACCACACAATTGTGGTGAACATGCAAACAAAAACAGAGCATTTTAATGTTTGGATATTCCAGCTGGAACATTACACACCGTGAAACGTGCTGCTACGACACAAACATGACCATCTTTCATAAAAAAAAACGGAGAGTTTACGGAGTTCTTAAAAAAATATTTATGACATGTTCACCACAAGTACTGTGTGTGGTTAATGCAGACATGATTCCTTGCAAAAGGTTTCAGTCTGGTGTTCTGACATCTTAACACCCGTTTCATTTTTTTAAATTTAAAGCTTTCGTGACTGCAGGGATTCATATTCTTGGTTCTTTCGGTAAAGTCACCACCACGTAGAAGGGAAACCTATTCTTATATTTTGATGGGGCAAGTGCTGTTAGTGAGCACCTATGAAGGCCGGCACGGCACACTAAGGGGTGGGTGGCCAGCACCATACCCAGCCGCCTTCGTCTCCCCAGTGGCGATGTTTACACACGGCACCCGGTACTCATTTGAGGCTGAGCCGATCTCGTAGAGGAGGCCCAGGACCATAATAAAACTTGGGTCGCCGAGTTCGTAGCGCAGCGCGCTAACCCACTGGGCAATCCCTCCCTATACCACCACCACACCAGACTCCCAGTGTCGTCCACACGTCCCCACAGATCTCCACGCAGAGAGGTCACTCGCAGGGAGGAAAGTGATGTTCCAGTGGCGATGAAGAGACGCGTCCTGTGACCGTCTGAGTGGTTTAATGAGCGAGGTGAAGAGTTCTTCTGGGTGGAGATTAAAGCCTTGGGACACAGATGATGATAATGATGACAAGCCAAGTGCATCCATTACACTACGAGTCGGCATTTAGAAAAATCGATAATTATATATAACCAAGGTTCGAATATCCCGGCTCGAACATTACGCACCGTGAAACGCACAACTACGATAGAAACATTACCATCTTTCATAAGACGGAGAAAGAGTTTACGGGGTATTGAAATATTTATTGATAATTTCGCCCCCCCCCCCCCCATTCTTATGTACAATATTAAACGTGTAAAGCCATTTGCAAAAGGGTCATTTGTCGACTTGATGTCTTAATATTCGTACACTTTCTCACCACATCCCAGCTCGCACCCCCACACCACGGAGCTGTATAAAAGTTCTGGTGGCAGTAAAATGTAAAACCGCCGTGATAACTACAAACACATAGAGAGACAGCATCGACACACTCATGTAATGCCGCTTCCATTGTAACACCGATCCCTGGCGGCACCAAAGGGCCCCACCGAACTTCAAATCTCTTGTTCAGCGAGGAGTCCCGGCTACATCGGGATGATGTTCGGCTCCAGTTATATTTACTCGCGAGAGTTTGGCTTCGTGTCGGGTGCTCATTTCAGGCTGAGTCGACCTAGGGGAGGCCCAGGACCGCTTCAGATAATCGTCAATGGTGCGTGTTGACCGTGAGCGGGAATCCGAACCTGGGTAGCCGGGGTTCCTAGCGTGGCGTGCTCACCGCCACAAGGCTACAGCTCCCCCCACAACACTCAGCGATGCCATCTCCTGGCCACAACTCACAAGAGAAGCCCCACACCTACAAACACATGGTAAGCCACAGGGCTTGCAATGTGTAATGGATATACATTGTTATTTATATGCATACATTAACTCCCCCAATCCCCTCTGGCCTTTGCACCCGATTGGCTCATAGGTGGCGACATCACATTTATATCCCTCTATTTAAGAACGATAACAGGAGGATTTCTCCACAAACCTGGCTGTCCGCCTGATGATGCTTGCTGTAATAACTGGTGAAACGTCGGGACTCCAATTGTAAATGTTGTGGGTTTACTCTCCAACACACCGGTGCACTGTACTAGTAACGAATTGGCACGTTCTGTTTACGTGACAAACCTTACTAATTGGCTGTGTCAGGTGGTGGCGGCTCTAACGACTCTTTCATATTTACGCGATCTGACGCAAAACAAAAACCTCTATTCCAGACATGGCAAGCTCCCCCCCCCCCCCCTAAGTGGTTGGTCACGCATCTGAGTGACAACTCGCCAGGCTAAAAAAAACCTGCTGAGACTGTCGAGAAGCAGGCGAGGTCGGGCGCCTTCGCGGAGGTGGGGGGGGTGGGGGGCTGTCGTGCGCCGAACGTGATCGCGTCTCTTCCTCCGGTGAATAAAGTGGTCTCAACGCCACCTTCGAAACTACACTCTTGCGCTGCATCACCCACGCAACCACACTCGGCAACAACAACAACAACAATCGCAACCAAGCTGCAGTCAGCAAAACACGACGAAACTCGTGATAAGGCCAAGGGCTCAGTTGCATAAAACGATTCGAGTTCAACATTCCCTTAGTACTCCCACCCCCAACATGTAAATCAGGAACTAAATAAACATGCAGATATTTCGCCTGCTTTACATAACTGTCCCTCCACATATAAAAGTGTTTTTTTTTTATTCCACATCCCATTATGTAGATGTGCTGCAGTAGAATTATCTGCTTGTTTATTTTGCTACTAATATTCTCCATAACGACACGAATGATCATTCGGAATTAAACACATTATACTGCTGCTGCTGCGTTGGCAGTGGTGCATAAGCCCAGTTAACAACACACTCAAAAAAAGCAAGCCAACACATTTGTCAACAACACTGCGTGTGGCCTTAATGTGAACGAGCATACAATAAGGCGCCGTTTCTGGCAGTGGTCCTCCTTCATAGCACATATAGAGGCCAGAGAGGTACCTCCTCTGTTTATGTGCTGTGAATTAGCGGAATTTCAAGAAACGTTTGCCATTACTGAGTTTCCCAAAATCCACTCCTCACCCCCCACCACCAACACGCTCCGTTTTTCCACCAATTCACCCGCACGGGTCTCCACTCATATTCTCGCTCTCTCTCTGCCAATGCACCAAAAAACTGCCTGGAATCCCATCGCTTCAAACGCGCCCATTGGTTACCCTAACACCTCGATCACAATTTGATGCTAAGCTGCGATTTATTTACGATGAATTGAGTTGCAATTCCATTTGACGTCACACGTCCGTGTTTGTTCACATATTAGTATGGTACTATAGTCACCATATATCTCCTGATTAATGTTTCCCGCGGCTTAAGTTTTGTAATATTGTGCTGTCTGTGTTCAGTGTGGAGGAAAATCTTCCCGAGCAGATTTGCGCTGCTGGGAAATTATGTTTTGCAATATTTTTGTTATTCCTCGAAACGCGATAGACGCAGTTCTTTTAGTTTTAGTTCTGATTTTGATTTGCTATGCTTTGGTACTTTTGATGACCCAGGTTCACTCTTGCAAATTAAGGCATCGTGAAGTGTCAAAGGCTCACTGGCAGACATCACGGGACAGACCCGGCTGACATGGGTGGACTGACTGAGATGACTGGCAGATGCACCACCTGTGCGCTACGCTGTGCCAACTTCCTGCATTTTAGCCAAGCACGCGCACACACACACACACGCAGGCACACGGGCACCACACACACACACTCGGAAACGACCACCACCTCAAACGAAATATGCGTCCAACGCCGCCATCTTATCCCTGGGCTTCCTGCCCCCGCGGAACCCCCCTCCGCCCCCACCCCTTCCCCCCCTGCCCCCCACTGTGCCAGCTCCCGCCGGTGCCCCCCGGCCCCCACCACGCCGCGCCCTCTGTGCCCGCGCGTGCTTCAACTGCACAAGCGGCTCGAAGACGGGGTCGCAGAACACGCAGCCCACGTGCCGCGTCGCTCCGTCGGGCAGCGGCGACCTCACCACCTTTGCCCCGGCGGCCGCCGGCTGCTGTTGCTGGTTGCTGTTGTTGTTGTTGCCGGCGCCGGCTGGCGCCGCCGGGTACTCGACTTGGACGAGCGCCGCTTCGCACGACTCGCAGGCCCACGCCGCGCGGGCACAATCCTCCACGTCCGGCGGGTCCAGCTGAGCCTGCGTCCCTGTAACAGCGACGGCGGCGACATCCATAGAGCGCCGCAGGATGGCAAGCCTCTACAGCGCCGCCGAGTGGTGATGGTGATCATGATGCTGATGAGATTTTTGGGGGGCGCCGCAGCGGCGAGGTGTTAACTACCTCGCGTGGTATACCGGAGGTCGCGCGTTTTGATCCTGACCCTGTATGTTTGGAGTTTGCGTGACTCTCTCTCTTAATGGCCGCGTGGATTTTTCTCCGGGTCCCCTAGTTTTTTCCCCCTCCATATTTGGAATCAACAGCCTGCGTTCAAAAAGTATTTGGCTGCTACAAATGATAGGCCACTTCGTTGAGTTATCATTTGTGGCCAGGTGGGTCGCTGAAAAAGAACTGTACTCCCCACTCTGCCACACGCAGACTTCCCTCACTTACACCGTCACGTTTAACATTCCGCGCACTAGTCAGGTCCTCGCGGCCACCAACGTGTTTTTATCTCTCAAACAACGGACGAGAGCAGTAACTTAATCAATTCATAGTAAAGGTTTTTGGGTTAGATCGCGTTTATTTATAAATGTGTCGTAACCCTCCACCACCGAACTTAATCAATGTCGAATAAACGCGAGTGCTTAGCGCCGCTCGGGCAGCTGGATAGCCGAGCTGTCACTTGCACCCGCCGTGAAGCCAAAGTCGCGCAGACGTGACAGGTTCAGATCCATCTGCCGCCTGATTGGGGGTTCTGCGCGAGTTATAAAGAGCACAAACTGATCTTGAGTGGAAATTAAAGACCCGGGTGATGTTAGTCGTCGTCAGCCAAGGATGAAGGACTCCCCACCGCCCACCCCCCACCGCAAGCCATCACCGCACCTTTACCTCCTCCCACAATCCTGCCACGCAAGATCCTGCACGCCTAGCTCCGACACACACGCATGCGTGTATGTACTGTATGTTGAACTTCTTTCACACAGTACGTAGCCAACCCTGCCAATCGGAGGTGCGGGAGAAGGAAAACAAACTAAACATGAAAATAATTCTTCAGAAAATGAGTTTTCAATCTAGATTTAAAAGTGTATAGCTCCAGTGGCTTCCTAATATCGGAAGAAAGAGCATTCCAGACGGACACAGAAGTGCATCTGAAAGTGCGCGATGCAGTGACTGTCTCTGTCTGCATATGTGGCCTTCAAAGAAAACTCGATAATAGGTGACGTTTCGCGTAAAGGACCTTCGTCTAGTGCTCTGAAGTGTTCCTGAAGAATGCGTCGAGTCGCCTTCACATTCTTAATGCTGCGGTGAATGCGTAGTGCCTCTAGTGGCTGTGGGAGTTATGTCAACTAATACTAACAAATAATATTCATGATAAGCAGCAGCAGCAGCCATGGTCTATCCACTGCTGGATGAAGGCCTCCCCACCAAAACGTTTCGGTGAACTTTCTGTTCTTGAGGTCGCCCTTGCAAGAGGGTTGACACAATGTCAATGCTAAACGGGCACTTGACAGGTTAACTTACGAGACAATTACCGTCGGTTAAATTAATTAAGGTTTAATGATTGAGCAGCGATCTCTCCCGTCAGTGGGACCACGATGCGGAGGGGGGTAGTGAAGTCGGGAAATCAATGGCTCTATCGATAACGCCAAGGGGAAATATATGTGACGTGAATAACATAATTCAAGCAAAACTAATTATTATTGCGATTCCATTTGCTTACCCGGGAGGATCCTGCCAAGCTCTTTGTGCAGTAGCAGGCGGCGATGTCGCTGCCACGCGTGATCACAATTCAAGTAATTTTCCACGTCGTTTTGACGTAAAAATTGGGAAACGTGACACCGGCCATGCAACGGGCTACTCTTGCGAGTGACGTCGCGTGGTCTTTTGACATCCGCTGTGAGCGGAGGGGACGGCGCATGGATGTTGAGGACGGTGAATTCACACCGCGGCGTTAATCTTTAACGGGATGGGGTCATTGGAATGTTTGCGATTTTGTATTTTAATTTGTGCCAAAATGTATTTACATAGAGCATCGTCAGCCATGAGCAATCCACTGCCGCACGAAGGCATCTCCGTGCCACGTCAGTCACGGGGGTTGTTTTTGGCCGTACTTCACCACACGCTGGCCCAGAACCGCTTCAAATATTCACTCGCCACCGATGTTAGCCGCACTGTGTCTGTCCCTTCTGTCCCTCCCTGCCCCTGGGTCTGTCCCGTGCCTGTCTATCCCTGTGTCTGTCTCTCTCTGTCCCAGTACGTCTCGACAACCGTGCACATACCTGTATCTGTCTGCATTTATCCCTGCTGTGTCTACATCTACATATGTCTGTATCTGTCTCTGCGTCTGCTTCTCTGCTTGCATCTGTCGCTGAATCTGCACGTCTGTCTCCCTCTCCGCATCTCACACCTGTCCCTTGGGTCTCCCACCTGTCCCTTGGGTCTCCCACCTGTCCCTTGGGTCTCCCACCTGTCCCTTGGGTCTCCCGCCTGTCCCCAGCGTCTCCCGCCTGTCCCCTGCATTTCCCACCTGTCCCCGTCTCCCACCTGTCCACTGGGTCTCCCGCCTGTCCCCTGCGTCTCCCGCCCGTCCCCTGCGTCTACCACCCGTCCTCTGCGTCTCCCGCCTATCCCCACTCTCTCCCAGTCCCATACATCTTCCCCGCCCTCCCCGCCCCGGGGTCCCCCGTATCCACCCCTCCATTCTTTCGTGGCACCTCGTCCTCGTCTCCGAACAGCAGTAGCGGCACCACAGGCGCTCACCCGACGATGACGATGACGCCGCCGCCGCCGCCAACACCTTGACGCGCAGGGCGCCGGCGAAGAAGTGCACGAGCACGCTGCAGCGGTTGCAAACCATGCGCCAGCGCGGGGCCGACAGCGGGTCGAAGACGAGCACCCCCGCCTCACACTCCACGCACTGGCCCACGCCCAGCGCCAGCAGCGAGTGGGCGCACGTCGGGTGCGTGCACTCGTTGCAGCCCATGCCTGCAGCGGGGGAGGGAGGGAGGGAGGAGGGAGATATAGAGGATGGGAGTGACAAGGGAAGAGTAGGAGGGAGGCATGAGGGGAGAGCGAGGGAGGGATGTGGGGGGGACAGGGAGGGAGATGGAGGAAGGAGAGAGGAGGAGGAGGAGATGGTGAGAGAGGGGCAGGAGGAAGAGGGAAGGAAGCCCAGTAAGTGGGATTATGGGGCAGGATTACCCAGAGGATTACGATGACGGATTACACGGAGGACACGACGAGGATGGCACGAGGAGGAGGAGGATTACGGAGATGTTTTCACAGACGGACAGACACAAAGGGAGCGGAGGGAGGACACAAACGATAGCACAGAGCAAGACACCCAGGCATGCCGCTACTCCCCTTGCCCCTAGCGTGAGCGGAGATCCAGACAGCCGCCTCAGCGCCTCCGACACGGCCACTACGGACCGCCTGATACCCAGATTTTAACACATGATGCCACCAGCGATGGGCTCATTCTCTGTAACCCACCCAGCCACCCATCCACCGCTGAGCCACATGGCCACGACACCCAAGACTCCAGTCGTGTTGGTAAATGCCGTGGAACAGATATTACAGAGCTACTTCTTGGTACCCGTTCATCAACAATAATAAGAATTTACATTTGTAAGGCGCATTTCATCCGCAGATCCCATTACACCACCGTGTTTGGAAAGCAGGAAATAAACAGAACCAGGATAAATTGGCCAAAACTAGGGGTAAAGGCCAATTTAAAGAGGTGAGTTTTCAAGGCAGCCTTAAATATATCAAGATATATTGGGAGCTGCACTGACCACATTTGCTAAAACCACTGCAGGGCAATGCTCTAACCCGAGGGGCATGGTGGGGGGGGGGGGGGGGGGGGGGGGGTTGTCTAGGTGGGAAGTGAAGGAGGGAGGGGGGGAACGATGACCACCCCCGCCCACCTTTCTTCATGTCGGGAAAGGGTGGGCGGCTGTAGCAGTAGGGGCACAGTGGGTAGCTCTTGCCGCGAGGCCCGGACGTCCACAGCACCAGCTCGAACTCGTCCAGCGGGCAGCGCAGCTCCTTGTAGAGTTTCAGGGCGCCGCCGTGGGGTAGGCTGTACGTGTCGTCGCAGTGCGAGCAGTGCAGGCGGCTCGGTTTCGCCTGCGCGGTAGGGGGGTGGGGGGGGGTAGGGTAGGGTAGGGGGTGGCAGACATCGTAGCGGGGGGGGGGGGAGGCGGTCGCAGAGAAGAACAAAGAAGGGAGTGATGATAATGATTGAATGTTGACAGAGCGTCCTCCTGGAGTCATCTCAAGAGCGAGCTCTGCCCGCGATAGGCAGCTCGGTTTCGCCTGCTCGGGCGGGGGGGGGGAGGGAGTTGGGAGAGGCAGAGATTGTAGTGTAGCGGGGGGGGCGGGGGGGATGGCAGTCGCGGAGAAGAGAAGGGAGTGGTGATAACAATTCGATGTTGATAGAACGTGTCTCAAGAGCGAGCTCGACCGGCGATAGGCCGCTTCCATCTCACCACGGTTTTTTTTGCAAAGGGCGACCCCCCCCGAAGTGGCAGCTGTGCCCTGTGTGGCACAAGGTGACTACTTCAGCAGCTGGTCTGTGAGAGGGCCTTTGGGTCTGCTATTAGGATGGGGTGGGGCTATGATTGCTCATCCCGATGAGGAACGGAGGAAGGTGTGTGGTTGTGACAGGCGAAGTGGCGTCGTTCTACGAGAGATCACGTGACGTCGACGTCATCACAACCACCGACCAACACAAGAGGTAAAGGCGCAGCCCTGCAATTGCTCGCTCGTGGTGGCCAATGCTGAAGGGATAGGTTTTCACTAGAGCGAGCCCGAGAGACAGCCCCCTCCTCTCAGAGATATTTATGGCCAATTCTTCCGCACTGAGCAGACGCCTCGGAAGAATCAGAAAATTTAAGCTATTTTTCACACGTGTCCAGTTGAGGCAGGTCAGAACGCTACAACAACAAACAATACAAAAAACACAATACGGGTGAAAGGTCTAGGAAAGGTAAACAAATCACTTAAAAAATATATACAAATAAAACCAAACTATTTTTAGCTTCATCAGGTAAAGCCCACTGAGAGCTCTTAGTTGATTTTTCAGAAGCGACCCGGCTATTAAAAATGATAGACGTTTGGACTACCCACGCTCTACCCCGCCGGACACACGACCGCCCACCCGCCGACCAACTGCGGTGTCACTTGGAAAGCCCGCACCATCGTTGCAACTGCCGCCCGCACCGGGAGACGGGCACGGAACAGGCGACCCCACCGGCAGGCCCCGTTTCGCTTCTCTCGTCTGATTCACGATCGCTCAGCGACCCGTGTCCTCCTCTCAGCGCAATTCCAAAGCGCGCGTCCCTCCGCCCGCTGCTTAAACACCATCCATCATCTGGCTTAATTTGCATGATTAGCAGCTGCACAGTGTGACTCTATATGTTTGTAATTACAGTTGCTAATTGAATGCCCCGAGGCCAGTAATGCACAGCAGCCAGCAAAATACACAGAGAGAGAGAGAGAGAGTGCGAGCACGCGCAAGGATAGCAAACCAGAGGTGACAAGCATCAGGTCACGCGACATTGTGAAAACAAAATTATAATTATAAGATCATTGATTTATCCAGGGAAGCCTCGCCGAGTCTCAAGACCCCAACTCTAGGTGGGTCTTGCTACACTGGGCTGTTTGGCCAATTCCGTTTCGTGAGACTTCATGGTGGTGGGAAAAAGCCACCGTGCAATACACGCAGGGGGACAACACTCAAAAAACTCCACACGGGGGGTGGATTTGAAAAATCGACTTGCTGTACTGGCCAACTCCTGGCCAGCTCACAGCCCGATATAAAGCATCGAGCTGTGCAATTGTGCAGAAATAACGACGTTGGCAAATCGGAATAAGGCGCCGTCTATGATTGATATTTTACGAGCTGACCGATCGGCGAGAATTGACGAAGCAATGGATCGTAGTCATAGCATTTGCATATACAGTGGTGTATGAGGTATCTTATCTAAGTTGTTCAGCAAGAGGAATAGACAATAATAAAAATAACACAAATGCTGATTTGCAATTTCTTTATCAATCCATTGCTGGATAAGGGCTTCCCCACGGCAGATCGATCAAAGGTAATGTTTTGACCATACCTCGCCATGCCGGTAAGGTACGGGTTTGGTGCAGTGGAGGAAAGGAGAAGTTGGAGTTACCCAAGACCGGTGCAGGTACGACTCGCCACTGACGTTAGCCGTTGACGCAAAGCGAACCGGGTCGCTTAATGGATTCATAATCGCAATGCGCTAACCACTGTGCCACCGCTCCACCCACAAACAGAGAGCGTACGTATGTATGAATGTTTAACTTCTTTAACACCGCATGTAGCCAACCGTGCACACTGCAATAGCGTTGTTTATTATCATCCAATAACGTCCAGCGGTAGCCGATGCACCAAGCACTTTGACGATCCATTCTGGTGGATCTCAACGGGATTCCGATTCACCAGAAAGCTGTGACCATCAATTACGCAGATGGGTTAAAGCCTGTAATATACTTTAGCCATGAAAGCACTAGCGCCGTCTATTGGTAGAAGTTATTACTTTTTTTGTTACGTATGAATTCTTAAGTTGGAGATTTCTACTTGCCATCAGCTGTAACGAGCACCATAGCTTTATCGCGCTTGCGATGTTAGCGTCCGTTCCGATTTTGTCTCGAGGTCCACAACGACATCGTGCATTCCATCCCGCGCATTGGTGGCCACCGAAGCAGATATGGTTCCCGGCGCTAGCAGAGGCTGTTTCTTTGAATGCTCACGGGCGATGCCAAAGACGCCTTTCTTGGCATCCCGATGCATCGACTTGGTCACAGCTGAAAACCATTGCATCTACGAGAGCGGTCTCCTCGCAATGGAGAGCTTAGTCCGCCGGGGGAGCCGGCTGTGTCACTTTTTGGACACCGTTGCCCCGTCCTGCATGCTCAAAACTCCTGCAGCAGAGTGTGCACTTCGGGCTAGCCGTCGACGTCCCAAGCGGACTGCGATCCTCAAAAGGAATGGCACCGCCCCTGTGGTGGTCGCCCCTCCCCCCTCGCACACCCCCGCCGTGATCCATGTGAATAAAAAAAGAAAATCACTCCAGACGCCGGCGTATGACAGCAAGAGCAGTTCATGCGAATGCTGTCGCAAGAGGTCACACGTTTGGCGCAACGGTCCTTCGCTGACTGCGCGTGATGAATAAATATCTAACCGCTCTATTTTGGAACGCGCGCAGGCTTAAACAGAGGGCGCATGATGCTGTTCGTACTCGCTACGACCGTTGTTCGCTGGTGTCTTGAACAAGCGCGGCCAATTAGATAAATCACCTAAATCACAAAAATTTCTTGATGGGTCCTTCCAGTGCACGCTATCTCCACTGACGACGGCATTTTGGCGGCACGGAAGAGAACGTTTTACGGGGGCGCACGGAGCGCGGTGTGGAAAGGGCGCGTGCTCACGTCACGTAGCTTCATCGCGGCTGTGTAACGGGACACAATTTCAAATGAGACGAGCCTCTTTTTCTCCCCCCCCCCCCCCCCCGCGCATTCAAGATTCGCGGAGTTACGGAGAGGATTCTTTTTCACCCCCCTCACCGCAACCGCGAGCCAGCAGCGTCACGTGACGCGACACGCACGAGCGGGCGACGACAGCTTTGACCGGTACTGGCACTGGGTGGTGCTATACGAGGAGGACGTGAGCTCGTGTTGAACGGCGCGTCGGGATTCCGAGCGTCTGACAAGGGCGGTGTGAGGTCGCGCAGAAAGAGAGGAAGAGTGAAGGATACACACACCAACCCCACTACTACGGAGAATGAGAAGTGAGAGTTGCTTGTGCAAACACCCACTCAACACCACCTCACCCCGCACCTACTACAACGGCACACGTAGGGCAACCTCTGACCTGGATGTACTTCATAAAGCGACGGCATTTCCCGCAGCGCGAGTGAGGTCTCCCAGTGGCGGCCAGCGGAGAAAAGGAGACCTCCATCAGCTCATCCATGCCTGTTCCACCACAAAGAGAAAGGCAAAGACCACCCGTGTAGCCTTTTAAAAGACTGTTGGGGCAAGTGCTGTTAGTGAGCACCTATGAAGGCCGGCACAGCACACAAGGGAGTGGGTGGCCAACGCCATGCCTGGCCACCTTTGTCTCCCCAGTGGTGATGTTTACACACTGCAGCGTGCTCACCACTGCGCCACCGCTCCCCACAGATGAAAACACACACGCACACACACACATACAGACACGTACAGACACACACACGCACAGAGAGCCATTCCCATGTTCCCAGCTCAATTACGTCTGCCAAGCAAGGATTAGTGTAAGGTTTATAATTACAATGATGATAATGATGATGACAATGATAATGATGATGACAATGATGACAATGATAATGATCATGACAATGACGACTAATGACAATGATGATGACGACCACGATCATGACGATGAGGAGGGTGACGATAATCATTACATTAAGGGTGATGAAAAGGCCACGATGCTGATGACGATGACGAAATAAATAACGGATGACGATCAAGCTCATGACAACTGTGAGAACGACGACGATGATGATGATGATGGCGGCGATGACTAGAGTAAGACAGCGCGCACCGGCAATGTGGTCGACGAAGTAGTGGAACTTGCGCTGGAAGATGCTGAGCGTGTGCTGCAGCACAGCCTGGAAGTCGGCCTTGCCCATGGCGATCAGATTCAGCTGCTTCTCCACCGAAGCCCGCATCGTGGGTAGCACCAGCTCCGGGTCTGCGTTTGCACAACCACACATTAGCCTTCACAGACTCTTGGGAAAAGTTCTGCGAGAGAGCGCCTATGAACGACGGCACGCGAGGAAGCGGGTGGCCAGCAGCACGCCCGACCGCCTTCCGTCTCCCCACGAGGTACTCTTTTCAGGCCGACTCAACGTAGGGGAGGCCCAGCACGGGTTCGGACATTCGTCACGGGCGATGGCCACGAGTGGAAGTCGGACGATGGCGCGCACGCAGGTATGCGCACGCACACACGCACACACGTTCGGATGAGAACACTGGCAAAAACAATCTGGTAAAAAGGAGGAACATTTTGAAAGGCCACGGGTTGATTGTTGAATGCACACGAAGACTAATGGTGTGCGGTGGGGTTTGGCCATCGTGCTAAAAGGGATGATGGAGTGGATTTGCGCGGCATGCAAATCCAATGTCCGCTGAGAGTGCTCAAGCCGAGCTCCGCGCAACTAACATCAGGAAGCGACACGGCCCGTTAGAGAGGGAAATGAGGCTGGGAGGGTGGGCACGGACGACGGTGGGGTGACATCAGTGTGACCACAGGTGAGGGAGGGAGTGAGTGTGGGACGGGTGAGAGCAGGCCGAGGATGAGATACGACTGCAGGTGAGGGAGGAGTTAGTAGGGGGTGGTGAGGGTGAGATTACAGTGCAGGTGGGAGAAGGGTGAGTGTAGGAGAGGTTTGTGTGACGGTGGGGTAAGAGGGAGGGGTGAGGGTGGAGTGCGGGAGTGGCGAGGCAGAGACGAGAGATGGGCGAGGTCAGATTGAGAGCCGGGGTCGTGAGGGAGAGGCAACGTTCCCATGAAGACGGCGTAATGGAACTAAACTACATAGCTCTTTTTCAGAAGCGACCTGGCCACACAAATGATAGCTCAATGAAGTGGCTTATCACGTGGAAATTTACAGCAGCCAATTACCCTAAATGCACGTTTCGAAATGTGAAGAGGAAAAAAACGGAGGGCCCGGAGAAAAATCCACGCGATCGCCGGGAGAAGATGCAAACTCCAAATATGCACGCGTCAGTGACAGGAACAGAACCCATGCCACTCCTGTACACCAGGCGAGGCAGTCAACATTTCGCCACCCGAGTGAGAGGTGAGGGAGAGGCGAGGACTGAGAGGCGAGGTCGCATGAGGGATGAGGCGAGTGTTCGGAAGTGAGGAGGGCGATGAGGTGGCGGCGAGGTTGCCCACCGATCTTGTGGTAGCCGTGCACCAGCACGATGCCCAGGTTGGTGGGCTTGAGGCGGCGACCGCTCTCCACCGTCACGTAGTTGCGCTGGCACACGTTGTTAATGTGCACGGGTATGCTAGCGTCCGTGCCTGGCAGAGAAGGGGTGGGGTGAGAGGGGGGGGCAGGGTGGGTTGGAGGGGGGGCGTCAAAGGTTAAGGCAAGTGCGTGTCGAGGTCCATTGCCGGGGTCCCTGTTAGGACGAAGGAGAAATTATAGCTTCTACGTGACTATTGTTAGACTCTATCCCTAAGTAAGAATAGGCTTTACCCTTCCTCGCAAAAAAAACAGGACGTGTTAAGATGTTCAAACACCAAATAGATACCTGTTTGCAAGGCATCAAGTCTGCATTAACTACACATGCTTGTGGCAAAACATGCAAACAAACATGTGCTGATAATATGCATTGTCTTTGAAAATTATTGGGAGCGTCATGATGGTGCGTGTATGTATGTTGAACTATTTTAGCATCGTACGTAACCCACCGTGCTAATCGGAGGCGCGGAAGGCCAACAAGCTAAACATAAAAAGCAGTTCTAAAGAAATTAGTTATCAATATATATTTACAAGTGCATAGCTCCAGTGGCTTCCTAATATCGGTAGCAAGAGCGTTCCAGACGGCCGCAGATGCGCATGTGAAAGCGCGCGATGCGGTCACCGTCTTTGTTCGACAGCCAGCCAAAAGCCGCTGCTGCTGCTCGGACGACTGGGGTACGCGCGATGGTTTATGCCCCTTAACGAGATCAGCGAGGTATTGCGGTTAAATTGTGGCGAGCACTTTGTGTGAAATAAATAATGGGAGACGTTTCTAGCAACGGCCCTTCGCCACAGCACACCGAGAGGCCACTCTACCCCTCGAGCCTCCGTGTGTGCACTGCAGAAGGGCCATACATTTTCTACTATTGGCAAATGTGTAGAGTTTTTAAAGATTATTCAGTGTCAATGAAGGCAGGTATGCAATCGAGGTGTTTTAGCGCATGTGCTATTATACGTTGTTTTTTCTGTTAAGGACACAGTGCTATTGACGGATGCGTTGGTATCGCTTTGCGTTGTACTGCATTGCACTGCGTGGACCGCTACCCCGCGAGTGCCGTGGATCAGCACGCACAAAGACAAAGATCCCCTGTATAGCCTGCACCAAACTGTTAGGGAAAGTGCTGTTAGCGAGCACCTGTTAAGGCCAGCACGGCACACGACGAGGGAGGGAGGTTCTGCGTCGTTGTGCCGGTGTCGTACCAATGCCGTGCTTCTCCATGAGTGTGATGAGCTCGGCCTCGGTGAGGTAGTCCGGCGGCCCCGTCTGCCTCTCCAGTAGCGCCACGCTGTCCACCGGCAGCTCATCTCCGGCCACAACCGCCGGCAGGCTCTCCTCAAGCGGGATGGCCTGCCAGGGCATCACCTCTGTGTAGCCTGCGCGGTCAAACGGCATCACAAAAGACAAAGATCCACACCCCCCACCACCGGCACCGTATAGCCTCAAACGAACTGTTGTGGGGTAATCGCTGTTAGCGAGCACCTATTTCGGCCGGAACAATGCACGAGGAGTTTGGTGTGGCCAACACCAAATCCCCCACACCTTCGATAAATACGGTTGGCTAGGTACAGTGTGAAAGAAGTTAAACACACATACATTCATACAGCCGCCTTTAGTTGTCTCGCCCAGTGCTGATGTTTAAGTACCACGCCAGTCACTAATTTAAGGCCAAGTCGCTGACCAAGCGGGAGGGCCCATGATCGGTTCAGACGTTCCATCACTGAAATGTTGGTCGTGAGCGGGAATCTAACTGGTGTTGCCGCGTTCGTTGCAACGCGCTAATCACCGCGCCACTGCACACCCCACAGCACCACACACACAGGGGAGCCAACATTGGCCGGCAAGCTCCGGCAAGCTCCGGCGACACCGACGTACCGGCCGACACGAGTGTCTTGCCCACGCAGTGGAAGGTCTCGCACGCGAGCGACAGCGTGATGGTGGTGAGCAGGTAGCGGCAGTCTTCGCTCACCGTGGCGATGAAGTGCCGTACGATGTAATCGTACAGACGCCACGCATCACCACCTGGCGATTGTAAGAAAACAAATACGTCCGGTGATTAAAAACCGCACGCTCACACGATCGGTTGTAGCTCGCTCGTCAACTGTCCACTCGCTCACACACTCACTCGTTAACTCACTCAGGCGCTCGCTTGCTCACTCCTTCAGCCACTGTCTTAATAAATCACTCATTCGCTCACTCACCCACTTAGGTGCTCAATCGTTCACTCACTCCAGCACGTGCCACGTCACGAAATTCTCAATTTTGAGAAGTGAAATTTAGCTAAATTAAAGTGCAGAAAAACACGTTATGATAGGGTTTAATTATACCAGTCTTTGGGGAATGATCAGCTCAACTCACCACACTTGAGAACCTGGTTTTTAACGATTTTTTTTTATTTGGTGGCGATGCTGCTGCTACATTAGCATTGGTGCACGAGCCAAATCAACAAAAAGGACTAAACACCTTCATCAATAATAATATGGCCCTAAAAAGAACAAGCAATGGATCTTCACAGCACATAGATGGGACTCTTAACCTCTCCGGCCTTTCCCTGTGCCCTAAATACTGCCTATTATATAAATGTTATCTCTCTTTACGGCCACAAAACCGATTATTGACTAACGTACTGAGCTGGTTTAATCACAGGCATCTGAAAGCCGGAACTTGAGCCCCATGGTCTCAGCGGTGCCGTCTGGACCCTGGGTTTGCTGCGCACGCGCGCACGCACGCGCGCAGACCCACCCAGCTCGCTCTCCGTGGCCGCCCTCATGGGCGTGATGGGAGGGTGGTCGCCAGCGTCGCTCCCTTTGCGAGGTTTGTTCAGGCCCCGGGCCAGCAGCGCCCTCACCTGTGGGTGGCAAACGCACGCGACCGCACTCAAAAGACAAAGGTTCCCCGCATAGCCTTCACACACTGTTGGGGCGAATGCTGTTCAGAATAAGAATCAGAATATCTATGCATACTGGAGGAATCCGATGACCTATAAGGCTCTTTTTCAAAGGTGTCCAGTCGCGGCAGATCAGAACGTTACGACAACAAACAATACAAAAACACGAAAGGAGTGCAAAGAATAGGGAACGTAAACAAATCACTTAAAATATATATATACAAATGAAACTAAACTAATGTTATCTTACCAGGTAAAGCCCACTGAGCTATTAGCTTCTTTATCAGAAGCGACCCAGCCAAAAACGATAGCTCAACAAAGTGGCCCATTATGACGAAATTTATAAAAGCAAAATAATCTAAACAATCCAAGCGAGCTGAGGCGAGTTTGGACGAGCTGGTGGTGAGGTATGCATGCATGTTGAACTTCTTTCGCACCGTACATAGCCAACAATGCTAATCAGAGGTGGGGCGAGCGGAGTGCTTATCCGGCCGGCGCTGGGCTTACCAAGTCCCCCCAGAAGGGGCTAGATGCCTGCTGGCGCAGCGCGTCCTTGAGGTCGAAGTTGTCGGGGTAGCTGGTGGTCTCCGTGCGCGGGTAGCTGATGTAGCCCTGGATGTAGAGCCGTTCCGCCACCTGCATGCTGTGCTGAGGCCCCATCCCTCGCATGACGCACGGAGAGATGAGCACAACAGACACGCGCCACCAACTCCTAAAGCAGTGTTCCTCATCGCAAGATCCCCCGTGTAGGCTTACAAGACTGATGGGGAAAGCGCGGGTAGCGAGTAGCTCCTATGACAGTGTTCTTCCACTGCAAGGAGCGCGTGGGCCACCAGCGGCCGCCGGTGGCCTTTGATGTAGTCCCTGACGTGCGGGCCCCCCGGACAACAGACAAATGTGAAAACACCCCTAGTCGGCAGTGTGACGGCCGACGCACTGATGTCTTATTGGCGAAAGTGACCCCCCCCCCCCCCCTCCACTGAAAATAAGTGAAGAACACCGGGCTAAAGGATAGCAATTTACGCATCGCTTCACGTGACTCGAATCAATCGTGACCAATGTTTTTTTTTTCCCACTGAACATCCTCTTAGCACTCATTTTCACCACTGTTTATGAAACGTTGGACCAGAGTATCTATTATTCACACAAACGTTCCGTTCAATAACGCTCATCTTTACGAGCGTTATCGCACTCTCGCCACCACCTGCCCCCCCCCCCCACTCACCATTACAGACGGGTAATTGAATAAAACTTTCCCCTCTCGTACCCAATTAGTGCAGATAGGATTCTTGCAGTAAGGGTAAATATCATTTAAGGGGCTCTCTTTCAAGTGGTAGGCCTCGTGCGACTGCGGGCCGTGCGAAACGAAGACGCGGACTGTGAAGAATGAAGTAAACCGAACGATTTATTTTACCAGATAAGGCCCACTGAGTTATTACCTTTTTTTCGGAAGCAACCTGGCCACAAATGATAGCTCAACAAAGTCGCTTATCATGTGGAAATTTATAGCAGCCAAATACTCTAAACGCATGTTGTTGATTCTAAATGTGGAGCTAAAAACTGAAGGACCCGGAGAAAAATCGACGCGACCATGGGGAGAACGTGCAAACTCAAAATATACAGCAGGCGGCAGGGTCAGGATCGAACCCACAACCTCCTGTATACCAAGCGAGGCAGTTAACATCTCGCCACCATGGCACCCCATTCCGGAAGGTTCCCCGTCCATGGTCGATCGCGATCAGCGACTCCCTTACCGAGAGAGGAGCTGGCTATGCGCAGCATCTCCACCGTGTTGAGAGCCAACGGACGCTGTTTCACCTTCTCCTTCTGAGTCACGGACAGCACCTGACCCACGCCGAGCCCAAGTTAAAATCAACATCTCCTGTGACAGACTATTACACACTTACACACACACAAAGGCAAGAGCCAAAGATCCCCCCCGTATAGCCTTTAACAGACTGTTGGGGCAAGTGCTGTTAGCGAGCACCGATGAAGGCCAACACCGCACACGAGACGGAGGGTGGCCAGCACCAAGCCCGGCCGCCATTGTCCCCCCAGTGCAATCGACGAGAAATTACTTTCTTGAGCTGCGCGGCTGAGCGGCATGATACAGTATGCAGAATAACAGTTACACGGTGGGTACCCTTAATTATTTATCCCACTATCTTACTGTGAGTGCGTGGAACATAGTATCACGTCAAACTTTTTCGTTACATTATGAGGAAATTCTTTTCACCTCAACACACATCTCCCTTAACGTAGCACTTTTCAGAAGCGCATCTACGACCGCATTAAACGAGGGATTGTCGTATGCTACACACGGCGACCTTCGCTCGTACGCCAATTTATGAAGTGGCAAATGGCAAGCGAGCTGTACCTTACTCTCTGGTTCTTTCGGTAAAGTCACGTAGATAAAAAAATAATAAAAGAAAACACGACGTTTCGGTCACAACACAAGCGGCCGTCTTCAGGTGAGAAAAACGTTCCGCTGTTGTGGCTTCGGGAGGGGGGGGGAGGAGGAGTTTGGCTGTATGGGTTAGGCACGGGAGGGAAGGAGGAGTTTGGCTGTAGGAGTTAGGCACGGGAGGGAGAGGAAGGAGGAGTTTGGCTGTAGGAGTTAGGCACGGGAGGGAGAGGAAGGAGGAGTTTGGCTGTAGGAGTTAGGCACGGGAGGGAGAGGAAGGAGGAGTTTGGCTGTAAGAGTTAGGCACGGGAGGGAGAGGAAGGAGGAGTTTGGCTGTAAGAGTTAGGCACGGGAGGGAGAGGAAGGAGGAGTTTGGCTGTAGATAGTTAGGCACGGGAGGGAGAGGAAGGAGGAGTTTGGCTGTAGGAGTTAGGCACGGGAGGGAGAGGAAGGAGGAGTTTGGCTGTAGGAGTTAGGCACGGGAGGGAGAGGAAGGAGGAGTTTGGCTGTAGGAGTTAGGCACGGGAGGGAGAGGAAGGAGAAGTTTGGCTGTAAGAGTTAGGCACGGGAGGGAGAGGAAGGAGGAGTTTGGCTGTAGGAGTTAGGCACGGGAGGGAGAGGAAGGAGGAGTTTGGCTGTACGGGTTTACAGGGGAGAGGGGGAGGGTTTGTGGCGTGCATGGACGGGTGGGGCTGGAGAAATTATCAAGTAAATGGACTTGTAGTAATCGGACAACAAGACACACACGGGTGGGTGAGTGAAAATCATAGCAGTTGAAACTTAACGCGATTTATCACATCCTTCCAATGATTGCTCAATGTGAATCCATCTTCTCGAGTGTGGATTCCTGCAGTCACGAAAGCTTCAAATCAAGATTGAGCTGTACCTTGGCCACCGTGGCTCCCCGCACCATGGCGAGGAAAGTCTGCGCCACCTCCCGGTCGAACATGCGGCCCCTCTCCCACTCCAGAGTCAGAGCCTGGCCCGCCGCCGTGCTCACCTATACGCGTGTTTGCGTGCCACCACACACACGTGTGCAAATCAGCACATGTACACACGTGTACCACCGCACCCATATGCATAACAAGCAGACATGCGTCAGTCACCGAAATTCACATTTAACGTGATTTTGGGGTCCAAATACTATATCTTCACCTTATCCTGTAGTACCCAGTAACATCTCCTCTACCTTGGCCTGTAGCACCCGATACGTCTCTGCTATCTTGGCCTGTAGCACCCAGTACGTCTCTGCTATCTTGGCCTGTAGCACTGACTACGTCTCCTCTACTCTAACCTGTAGCACCCAGTACGTCTGCTCTACCTTGGCCTGTAGCACTGACTACGTCTCCTCTACTCTAACCTGTAGCACCCAGTACGTCTGCTCTACCTTGGCCTGTAGCACTGACTACGTCTCCTCTACTCTAACCTGTAGCACCCAGTACGTCTGCTCTACCTTGGCCTGTAGCACTGACTACGTCTCCTCTACTCTAACCTGTAGCACCCAGTACGTCTGCTCTACCTTGGCCTGTAGCACCCAGTATGTCTCAGGTTTGAACGACTGGATGCGGTCATGTCGCTCCACGCAGAAGCCCAGCGTGGGCGTCTGGCACGGCCCAAACGAGACGAGCGACGCATCCAGGTCGCCATACTTCCCCTGGAAGTACTTGGTCTGGAACCTGTGGTAACAAGACGTGCGTGTTGAAGGCACAGCAAATTCATAACCCCAATTAGTAAAAATCCATGTACACCCCTCTGATCACAAGACATCATCCAATCATCAATGCATCCCCCCCGTGCACCCCCCGCCCCCCGAATGTCAACAGTGGCGGCGACGGTGGCGAAGGCGGCAACTTGCGACGCCTACGTGGCAGCTGGCGCCGAGACCTGGTGAAGGCGCATCCGACGCGGAGGTCCACTTCCTGACGAGCGTCCACAGCCAGCGCCTCATAGCGGTTGGGCTCGGCCAGCTTGTTCATGGCGTTGTGGATGTCCGTGTCGGTGATGGCGCTGAACTTGGCTCGGAACACCACCTGCTCGGAGCCACGCTTCACTGGATACGGCGCGATGGCGTCCAGGACCTGCCGAGCCATGGGTGAGATGGGGTGAGTGGCAGGGGGTGTGACGCCGTTGGGAGGCGGTGGTGAGAAACTACTGTCGAGCACGGAACCGCCGATCAATCAATTGATCGAACGCGGCACTCGAATCGTCAATGACAGATTAAATTCATTGTCGCAATGACGGTGCGTCTGTCTCAAAGGTTATATGAACATACGCTATTCAAGCGTAGAGACCTAGGAACTGATGCAGGGATAACTCGTCACTGGCGTTGGCCATGGCTAGGAATCAAACTCATTTGTCAGGAGTTGTGGCGGAGTGCGCAAAACATTGTGTCATCACCCCAAACCCCGTCCCCCAAGTTCATTAACACTATGGATGTAATAGCGGGTTGGGGTGGAGTGATGCTGCAGTGGTTTGTGAACCCAGCAACCCGAGTTTGATTCCAGGCCACAGCTAACATCACTCACGAGTGACATGTGAACCGGTCCTGAGACCGCTTCCCTTAATCAACGCACACTGGCCAGCATGGTGAAGCAAGGTAAAATAGTGTGGGGAGGCCTTCATCCAGCAGTGGATTGACAAAAAAGTATTAACTCATAGAAAGTCAGCTGGTTAGTTCGGGGGGTTCATAAATGGCGGTATAAATACAGTGAGGGAACAAAGTATTTGATCCCCTGCTGATTTTGTACGTTTGCCCACTGACAAAGAAATTATCAGTCTATCATTTTAATGGTAGGTTTTTTTGAACAGTGAGAGACAGTATAACAACAAAAAAATCCAGAAAAATGCATGTCAAAAATGTTATACATTGATTTGCATTTTAATGAGGGAAATAAGTATTTGACCCCCTCTCAATCAGAAAGATTTCTGGCTCCCAGGTGTCTTTCACACAGGTAATGAGCTGAGATTAGAAGCACACTCTTAAAGGGAGTGCTCCTAATCTCAGCTTGTTACCTGTATAAAAGACACCTGTCCACAGAAGCAACCAATCAATCAGATTCCAAACTCTCCACCATGGCCAAGACCAAAGAGCTATCCAAGGATGTCAGAGACAAGATTGTAGACCTAAACAAGGCTGGAATGGGCTACAAGACCATTTCCAAGCAGCTTGGTGAGAAGGTGACAACAGTTGGTGCGATTATTCGCAAATGGAAGAAACACAAAAGAACTGTCAATCTCCCTTGGCCTGGGGCTCCATGCAAGATCTCACCTCGTGGAGTTGCAATGATCATGAGAACGGTGAGGAATCAGCCCAGAACTACACGGGAGGATCTTATCAATGATCTCAAGGCAGCTGGGACCATAGTCACCAAGAAAACAATTGGTAACACACTGCGCCGTGAAGGACTGAAATCCTGCAGCGCCCGCAAGGTCCCCCTGCTCAAGAAAGCACATATACATGCCCGTCTGAAGTTTGCCAATGAACATCTGAATGATTCAGATGACAACTAGGTGAAAGTGTTCTGGTCAGATGAGACCAAAATGGAGCTCTTTGGCATCAACTCAACTCGCCATGTTTGGAGGAGGAATGCTGCCTACGACCCCAGGAACACCATCCCCACCGTCAAACATGGAGGTGGATACATTATGCTTTGGGGGTGTTTTTCTGCTAAGGGGACAGAACAACTTCACCGCATCAAAAGGACGATGGACGGGGCCATGTACTGTCAAATCTTGGGTGAGAACCTCCTTCCCTCAGCCAGGGCATTGAAAATGGGTCGTGGATGGGTATTCCAGCATGACAATGACCCAAAACACACAACCAAGGTAACAAAGGAGTGGCTCAAGAAGAAGCACATTAAGGTCCTGGAGTGGCCTAGCCAGTCTCCAGACCGTAATCCCATAGAAAATCTGTGGAGGGAGCTGAAGGTTCGAGTTGCCAAACGTCAGCCTCGAAACCTTAATGACTTGGAGAAGATCTGCAAAGAGGAGTGGGACAAAATCCCTCCTGAGATGTGTGCAAACCTGGTGGCCAACTACAAGAAACGTCTGACCTCTGTGGTTCCCAGCAAGGGTTATGCCACCAAGTACTAAGTCATGTTTTGCAAAGGGGTCAAATACTTATTTCCCTCATTAAAATGCAAACCAATTTATAACATATTTGACATGCGTTTTTCTGAATTTTTGTTGTTGTTATTCAGTCTCTCACTGTTCATATAAACCTACCATTAAAAGTATAGACTGATCATTTCTTTGTCAGTGGGCAAACGTACAAAATCAGCAGGGGATCAAATACGTTTTTGCCCTCACTTTATATATTTAAAATAACTGATTTTGAGCAATCATCTCTTTAATGCTTCTTTACATAGACGTAACTAATTACACAACACTAACACTTTTAAAGATAACTACACTGCTGGATTATGCTGTGTTTAACAATGAGACCACGTGTAAAGCCACCTCACCTCAAAACAAATGTTCTCTCCCTCTCGGTCACAGTCCAGCCACAGCACCACGTAGTCACATCCTTTGCCCTCGATCTACGTCCCACACACACACACATACACACAAAATCACGCCGCCATCTATAGATGTATAACGCGCAAGTATCCGTCCGTGGCGCTGTGATTCCCCCAAACGGTATGTTGGATGAAAAAAAACATTGAAAAATAAATATTTCTCTTGGCGAGGACATTGCTGCAAAATTGTTGCCCCTTCCGAATTAACGTTTTACATCCACATTTTTTTTACAAAAATAACATGCAATACAAAGCAATGGGAGTCACAATCTTCCAGGAGAGATTCTTGCATTTCGTTGCCAGAATTGTCCGGAAGATGGGTCGCCTATTGACTTACATTGAAACCCACTGTTTAGGAATTACGTCACCGTCCCTTCGGCCATGTGGCTTCACCGCGGTGACGTCAGCCTACAGGAGATGAGTACTCTCCCAATGATCATTTGAGCATAAAATCACTTTGAATTTCTTGACTGCACTGAATGTGGTGTCCCGGGTGAGGAAATATGTTCTGGGTCGATCACTCCCAAGGTGGTTTTTTAAAAATGCGTTCATTTTGATCTTTACAACACAATTTCGCTTGAAAAAAACAGACTACACATCTTAAATTGGCTCTCACCTAGTTTTAATCAAGGACATGTAAATTGTTAATGTATATATGCATGCAAGTCAGCACCTGCAAGAACTTCCCCATGCTGAGCTTGGGGTTTGCTTCCTTCTTCTCTGTAGGAGCCTTGCTGAACAGCTCTGCAGGATCAACCTGGTCCCAGTTGTTGTATTTGCCTAACACACAAAGACACGCAAAGATCCCCCGTATAGACCAAATGTACTGTGGGGGGCAAGTGCAGCAAGCGAACACACACCTCAACCAGCACCACCACTACTAAGACATGAGTGCATCACAGGAGTTGCTGTGCTTTCATCGAGACTCCAGACTAACCTCATCCAGCACGCAGTGGGTTGTTTCAGTTTCTGTTTCATTTATTAGGTATAGCCCTGTGAACCATGCGGCACTTGACTCGGGTGCAACCGCAACAAACAAAAACACGAACAAAGAAACATCTTAAAGTGACTACGCGCGACAGAAAAAAATCCAGGAAAAAAAACAGCAAAACCTTCCACAGAAAAAAAAACCACCGTAATCGGCATTAGCGCATAGCATGTGTTAGAGCACGGCGTGCACTAGCGCAATGTGGGTATTAGTGCAGTGCGAGCATCGGCATGGTGTGTGTCGGGCGCGTAGCACGCGTCGGCACGGGCGTTCGTAACACGGCGCCAGTACCGATGAAGTCGAGGGTCATGACGTGACCGCACACGGACGTCATCTTGAAGCGCGCGCTCTGCCCCTGGAACGTGCCCATGTACTCGTGCACCGAGCACGCACCGTTGAGCCCCTTGCGCGACGTCATGCTACCTGCGAGACAGCCAACGGCGCACCATGGAACACAATTCAAGACAACATCCTCGCAGCGGCTTCGTGGCTGGCCATCGAACAAAAGACGGTCACCGTCGCGCGCGCTCTTTAAATGCGCCTCTGCGGACGTCTGGAACGCTCTTCGTTCCGATATTAGGAAGCAACTGGAGCTACGCACTGTTAAAGCTAGATTGGAAAACTCATTTAGTTAGAACTGCTTTTTGTGTTTGGTTTTGTTGTCCTTCCCCCCGCATCTCCAATTAGCACAGTTGGCTACGTATGGTGTAAAATAAGTTCAACATACATGCACACAAGGGCACAATGCTCCAAGGGTGTTGATCATATTTCACCGTGGTGGTTAGCGCGGGTTGAAGTAGATGACCCGGAGCGGTTCGGAAATAAATAGCATTATTATTAGCAAAGAATAATACGAACATTACTTACTTTCCCTGGAAAGCCAAATGGACTCATTTTTATCCTACAATATTGGTATGATTGACCCAGCACCGAGGGGAAATCTCAGAACATATATTTCTCCTGGAAGAATCTGATGAGTATATTAAGCTCTTTTTCACAGACGTCCAAGTAGAGGTGGATCAGCGAGTTACAACAATACAAAAAAAACGATAGGCGTGCAAAAGAGAGAAAAAGTAAGCAAGTCACGATAAGTAAAAAAATATTTTCTGCAGCCACACCTCTGAACATCCTTTCTTGTGAATGTAATCAAAATGAAGGGACGCAAGGTTTCCCCACTCAAACCAGTGTGCCGAGGTGTCCATCTCCAGAGCCAGTGGTGAAAATGCCACATTCCTATGACAGTGACATGTCCATCCACGGAATAACCATTGAATGGACGGCTCTGAATGTAGCGTTAATAGCTAAACCTGCGGCTATAAATGTATTGACGGAGTTACGTTTAACGAGAGGTTGTTTGGCCATACTTCGCCACGGTGGTCTGTGTGAGGATTCTGAAGTAGTGATGGTTAAGGGGTGGGGACCGGTTCAGATATCATACGCCTCTGATGTTCACCGTGGCCGGGAACTGAACTCAAGTCGCCGGGTTCGTAGCGCAATGTGTAACCAATTGCATCACCACTCGCTGATGGATGCGATTACGCGTGGCATATTAATAACGACAGTAGTGTAGACATTCCACGTTATTATGGCTGTGACAAGTGCATCCTGAGAACAACCTCTGTACCGTACCCATAGTAGCGAATGTAGTGTTAATAGTAAACGCTGTAGTATCAAACGTACTCAACAGAGAGGATAGTTAACATAATATATATGAATAATATTGGTCGCGAAAGCCTACGTGTTAAACTGAGGATAGTTAACAACACACACGATGGCGAGTTGCAGCGTTTAGCGCACTACCCCACCAACACCCTGCGAACCCGAGTTCGATTCCCGGCGAGGGCTAACATCGATGGCGAGAGATATCCGAAGCGGTCTTATCGCTCCCCCTATCACGCTTCGTCAACATTGACCAGCCTTGCTAAGTCGGGGTCAATCAACCCCAGCGGCCAACACGGCCTTGGGTAGTCCTCCATCCAGCAGTGGAAACACTTTTTTTTTGGACTTGATGTCGTCCTCTGCCCCCGCACCTTTCTCGACTGGCACGGTCGGCTACGCGCGGCGCGAACAGAAGAAGTTCAACATGCACACCGTGGCTACTGCTTGCAATGGCACAATGCGCGACTCGGTCGAGCCACGGCTAACATCAGTGGCGAGTGTCATCTGAATGAGTTTAAGGCAATCCCCAGGGCTCACTCCCACCACAACTCCCCCCCCCACCACCACCTATCTTCACCGAACCCACGCTGGTACGACCAAACGGCTAGGACCGACAACACGGCCAGTGGTGTAGACCTTCATCCAGCAGCGGATAAGGACCGTGGCCTGCGGTGGGAAATGAATGAGAACCGCAATGGCGAGTGAACGGGGGCCTAAGCGGTCACCTTGCGACAGGATCTTTGCTATGGACTGAGACAGAGACGGCTTCTCCGCCACCATGAGCACCGTGCGCATGTCGAAGCAGTAGAGGTCACGGCGATCGCGATGTATTGCTTATTGCCCGGGTTACACTTTAACTGTTTTAAAAACTCTCGCCCTGGGGCTCGGCCTCGCTCGCTCCCTGTGTTGCCCTGGTGATGGCGAAGCCTGGATTGAGGGCCTCTGTTGGGATTGGCGGGCCGCGTCCCCCTGATTGGCTCGCGAACAAGCACGTGGTGCGTGATGTCACGCACCGCCGCGCTCACCCTCACAGCCCCCCCCCTCACAGCCCCCCCCCCCTCACAGCCCCCCCCCCCCTCACAGCCCCCCCCCCTCACAGCCCCCCCCCTCACAGCCCCCCCACAGCCTCCCCCCTTACAGCCCCCCCCGCAGCCGCCCCCCCCCGCAGCCCCCCCCTCACAGCTCCCCCCGCAGCCCCCCCTCACAGCCCCCCCCCTCACACCACCCCCCCCGCAATAGAATACGTGGTACCAGAGGTATCGATTAATCGAAGTATTCATCGAATGATTAATCGATTACATCAAGTCACATTTGCGGGAATCGATTCGCTGTAAAAGCGCGTGATCGAGTTCCGCATACTGTCCTGTATTGCATTGATTGATGAATCGATTAATCGATTTATAATCTGTTTACAAGAAACCACTCATCGCGTATGTCAATTACACTGTGGACTTTAAAAGGAAACGAGTATCTAATAGGCGACGTTTCGAGCAATGGCCCTTCTTCATTGATGTGCTTTGAAGAAGGACCATTGCCCGAAACATCGTCTATTATATTTGTTTATTTTCCTTTTAAAAGCCACACAGAGTGTTGACACGGAGCAGGTTGAGCTGTGTGTGTTGGCTATACTTGTGGGGGGAGCGGTAGTCTACCGCTGAGCGCACTGCGCTACGAACCCGGCGACTCCGAGTTCGATTCCCACTCACGGCCAACACCAGCGACGATTATCTGAACCGCCGGTTCTGGGCCTCCCCTAGGTCGACTCAGTCTCAAATGGGTGCCTGGTGCGGTGTGTAAACATCGCCACTGGGGAAGACAAATACGCCTAGGCGTGGTGCTGGCCACCCACCCCCTCGTGTGCCGTGCCGGCCTTCAGAAGTGCTCACTAACAGCACTTGCCCCAACGGTATGTTAAGGCTATATGGGGGACCTTTATTTTTGTTATACTTGTGCATCACCGTCAACGCAGCAGAAGCGCCGTATAATTTGATTGGAATATGAAACACCCACTACCCCGTATGGAACAAACACGCACCACCATACCGTACACAAAATGTAATCGTTCGCTTAAATAGAACATTGACGAAACGTGCATGAGAGCTACAAGGAAGAAGCCACGCCTCTTCCACCAGCTCAAGAAAAATAACACTGACATCAACAAGCTGAAATGTTCCCAAGCAAGAAACTTCTCCAACCAGGCTGAGAAGCAGGCTAGAAGGAACTCCAACATCAAATTCAAGAACGAGCTTACTGATAATACCTTAGCCAGTGAGAAATGGTGGAGGCTCGTCAACTTCCTGTCTGGTAATAGCTCCACACTCTGACATCCTTGTCATTGTGCGCAACGATCTTGCCCATATCACAGCACGGGATGAAGCAGAAGTATTCTGTGAGGCTCTTGCAAAGAAATGTCGTCTCCAAGATGCAAAAGATCCGGCACCACAGATCGAGCTAAGCACTATCTGCTCAATTGAGAACATCACCTCCAAGCCCGAAGACATCAACAGGCTCCTAAAGCGACTCAAACCAGGCAAAAGCAACCGGCCCAGATCTAATCCTCACCAAAGGAATGCGGTGCTGAACTTGCAAGCACTCCATGTCGCCTCTTCCACTGCTGCTTCTCAAACCAATGGAAGCTGCCCTCAGTAACCCAAATACACAAGAAGGACTCCAAAGCCGACCCATCAAAGTATCGCCCCACATCCCTGCTCAGCATCATTAGCAAGGCCATGGAGGCAGCAGTGAACAATCAACTTCAAAGGTACATGCTCAACGACAACCAGATCTCCTGCAGGCAGTTTGGATTCGGACCAAGTCACAGCACAGCGGATCTTCTGAATGTCTCTCTGGAAAAGTCTGTGTCACAGTTCTGGACATCAAAAGAGCCTTTGACAAAGTGTGGCGCAACGGCCTATGTGCCAAACTCTCCAACAGATCCATCAGAGTTGTATTGTCCGGCTAGGCCTCAGAACCACAAGGATCAATTCCAATTATCGGTCCACTTCTCTTCCCCATCTTCATTGAGAACCCGATCGATGCCTGCGAGAAACGGCTCTACCTCAACGCTGACGACTCAACCCTCTATGCTCCAATAAGATAACCTGAAGGTAGTTAAATAGTTAAATATTTATTTTATAATAAAGTAATATATTGTAAACAAAATATTTGTTGACTTTTTTCATTGCTGTATTTATTGTATTCATAATTTGTATGCGACCTGTTGCAAACGTCTTTTTAATTTGACAGTCCTTTTGCTTCTTCACTCATAGGGCAATTCTAAATTAAATGTATCTGCAGAAAGCAACGCAGTGACACCTAGCCTGAACCAGGGATCTTCATCAAATGACCACCTGGGCAGACAAATGGACCTTCGAACCAACAAAGTGCCAGACCATGACACGATCTCGGAAGAAAAATTCATCTAAGCTGGATCTGCATTTTGGTGACTGTCAGCTCGCATCAACTGACAAGCTCGAGATTGTCAGTGTCATCATTGACAGCAAGCTGACGTGGTCCAAACATCTCACCAACATCTCCATCAGAGCAGGACAGAAACTGGGCGCACTGAGAAAGGTGGCCAACAAATTTGACACAGAGGGCCGAGCCAGAGTCTACAAAGCCCAAGTTCGCGGTGTCATGGAGCACGCCTTTTTGTGCTGGATGAACGCCCCACCAACTCACCTCAACCTTCTTGACTACATCCAGGGGGAGGCGTTGAAAATAATTGGTGTTGTTGAAGCCATCGCCAGCACACAACTCATCATCCACAGCCGGCAACACCTTTGACAAGTTGCTGCTGTCACGGTCCCTGTACAAAATGCACACCAACCCCCCCTTCCCCCCCCCCCACCATAGACCATCAGGCCATGCTACCACCCCAATATGAAAGACGCCGTGCCACCCGATTGTGCACAACCCTTTTCATGTATCGCACTTGCCTCCCCCCCCCCAGTTGCCAGAACATTGCTCCCTGGACAGAAGCTCCCTTCTTCACTCTGCTGTCCGGATATGGAACTGCCTCCCGGAAATACATTGTCGGCGAAATCACCGATATCGGTACCCATGGGCCTTCAAATTTCCTGAGCACGTGCACATCTCCTAACTTCACCGCACGCCTCTAGGGGTGAGTATTTGAGCTGCAGTGCACCAATGATTATGCCAATTATTAGTTGTACTGTCTGATATAGCTGTTGTTCACAATTGCACCCAATACAAGAAAAAACAGGCGAGGTAGTTAACATCTCGCCACCGTTAGACCGTTAGGGGTTCCCCTCGCCGGGTAGGTTCCTGCTGAGTACGGCTCTGAGCGCCTCCGCGGGGAGCCTGACCGGGTGGCTTAGCACGGAGGAGGAGAGGAGACGCAACGCCCACAGCACCACTGCGGGGTGGGTAGGTGGGGGGGGCACCGGGAAGAGAAGACAAAGAGGGGAAGGGAGGGGGACACGGTGGAGAAGAGAGGAGACAGAGGGGAAGAGGGAAGACGCTGGGGAGAAGGTGGGGGGCATGAGAGAGAAGGGGGGCGGACGAAAGGAGAGGGGGTTCACGGGGAGAATCGGGGGGACACGGGCGGGGTGAGGGCTGAGACGAAGAAGAATGAAGGGTACGGGGGTAGTATGGGGACAAGGGGGAGGAGGGAGACATGGTGGAGCAGAGGGAGGGAGCGGAGACAGTGGGAACAGAATCTTGCACTTTGTGTATATTACACAGGCGACTCGACATGCCCAGAATGACCCCTTTCGCCCCGGCACTAATCCGATAATAACCCACGCATCACAGCTAATCGCCGTCATCATCGTCATTACCGCGGAGAAACAAAGGCGGGCCGGCGCGCAGGGCGGGCAGGGAGCAAGTGCTGCTCCAACCAAGATAGCCACGCGGCGTCCCAACTCCTCCTTCAACGCGTACCTCGTGACCCCGAGGTACGGCATCGAAGAGTGGCCGGGCGAACTGGGGCACGGGGTCAAGGTCCCTCGTCGTCTTCATCATCAGCCGATCAATGAGTTGCGCATGCGTGTGAGAGGAATTCGGAGCACCCCACCCGGAGAAACCGACTCGTGCGAGGGTGCAACGCTCTATCCCCAAACAAATGGTGATTCGTCCGCACTCTGCTGTACCGCCTTCTGGCGAGCCCGGGTATGGCACCTTCACGCCCATGGACAGGGAGTTTCACCACATTTGTGCAGTGATCCACCAACCCTCGTGCATAGCCACTGACCGCCCGGAATAAGGGGAAATGTGATAGAGTCGTGGATCTAGATAAAAGATGGGGCCAAAGCTGTGGGCTATAAGCTAAGTCTATGGTTAAGATTATAACAGGAATTAGTGTCCATGCTGAAATTCAGTAGCGGGCAATCAGCGTCTCCCATCCCCACCGGTCCCCCTCTGGGATTCTCGGTCTCACCCTGGCAGGGGGTCGGGCAGAGGCAGTGGCCACCAGATTGGCCAGGTTGTTGAACCCGAGATTTAAGTTAAAGAGCTACTGCTCCATGGAGGTGTGCGGTGTGCCTGGACGGGTCCCCCGCGAGGCCCCCTGTGGACAGAAGACCCCCCCCCCCCTCACATAACGGGTCCACATCTTCAGCAAAAGGGAATATCAAGATAACCTCTATTTGCACAGGAAGGAGTTAATAGATAGCAACATTATAGCTATGCTCGTTCACCCAGGAAAGCCTCGCTGAGTCTCAATACTCTCTTTCAGAAGGGTCCTGCCAAGTGTTTTGCAGTTTGGAGGGGGGGGGGGGGGGGGGCGATGTTGCAGCTTCAACTGTAACTTGCTGGTGATTTCTCAGCAATGGAATGATTGGGCCAATGCCAGTTACCTTGCAAAAAATGTAGGGCTAGGAGGAAACCCATGCATTACAGGGAGAGAACATACACACTCCACACAGAAAGGTTTTCGAGCAGGGAATCGAACCCAGGCCCTTCTTCTTCTGTGGCGCAAATGTCACCACTGTGCCGCCCTAAAGGTGTAGCCCTGCAATTGCTCACGTCATGCC